TCGTCTTAATTTTTCAATAAATAGTAATAAGTTTAATAGTTTCTTACCCTCGTGGGAAATTACACAAAATGTTTTCTAAGTGTTACCATTTTTAGATATTCATCGTAATTCAATTTGAAAATTATATATTTATTGTATTTCTTTCCTTGTTTAGTGAGAGATTGGTCGAAGATGTGGAGGATGAAGGAGTGAACAATAGAGAGAGCGCGGTTCCTCCACGAAACACCAAAGCAGACGAAGAGCCGGCAGAGCACGAAGACTGCATAGTGCAAGATAATCCTGGCCATTACAGGGATAGAAATACATTGAAGAAAGTCGGGTCGTTCTTAAATGTACTTTTACACAAAATTTGACGAACTGATTTACCCTGTTGTGATACAAAATGCATAATTCAATCATCGTCCCTTTGAGATGTAATTTTGGATTTTCCTGATCAATGTTTTGAAGGTACTTGTGACGATTTTCTCAAAATTTTTTAAACTTTAAGAGTAGATCTGTTCATTAAAACAACAATTTCCTTGATACGAGTGCCTTCTATTCTATATTTATGTAATTTTTTTATACTAAGCTTTTTTTCAATTTGCATTTTGGAAAGTTTCATTTCAGCATTGAAATTACTATTCGACAACAAAGTGAAATTGTAATGTTATGTCATTGATTTTTATTTTTGTAATTTTAAGTTTTTAATGCTTCAAATTTTGCAATTTTGTTTCATTATATATACTTTTGGGACAGCCAAAAATTTATGTTTTTGTTAAATTATTAATATAATGATCTTTAATTTTATAATTATAAAAAATCAGTGTAAAGTAATTTGCATATACAAATGAAATCATTTGCATTTTTGTTAAATTCATAACAATCCTTAAAAGCAGTGAAATGTTGATTATATATACTTTTGGGACACACTGATATTTACAATATTTTACACATTTATTTTTATGATCGGCAGCAATAAATTTCTCCCGTCCACTCTTTAACTTCAAATTTTAACCCCTGAAAATGTATCTAAAAGATTCAGTTATGTTACATTACAAAAGTTATTGCAAACACTTCAGGAATTTATATTTTCAATATTATTTTATCCTCTATTCTCATACAGCCTCGATATTTCAGATGTTTACTCTTGGTTGTTCTACAATATTGAAGCCTTTTTGCTCTTTTGGTTCTGTTAGAGAAAAACGGTGACGAAATTCTACAACTCGGTGCCTAAAACCAAACCATTTAAGACAAAAATAGATAAGAATACCAGAAATCCATTTAATTGAGATCGAAAAATAGCGCCAAATTCACTCTATAAACACCGTTTACATTACCACAAATATGGCGACTGCCACAATGCATTACGGTATTGTCCAAACGTTGTGTTTATAGACCTTGCAGGAAGACTGATGTAGTAAGAAATTAATCGATATAGCTATAGAAAAGAAATCAATATTGTGGAATAGTTTCAAACCTTATTCTAAGGACATTTTTCTATTGAACAAATATCAGTTTTGTTTCGGCCATGCCGGTAATCCTCGCGTTAATAAGCTGTTCTAATAGACATAAATGTAAAATAAAGACAATAATACAAGTTATACTTGAGTAATTGTTTATTTTTCAATTTTTTCAATCTAAATTTTAGACACGCCAGCATGCAGTGTGCTCCTGCAAGTGATATAATTTACTATAAAATAAGTGCGCTGTAGTTGTGGATTATACTTTTAAATGATAATATTAATGTTACAGCTGCATACAAAATATCTATTATATATATTTCATACAAATGGAAAAATCCTATGAACATTCCTTTTGTAGTTTTTTTATGGGTTGAATAATATATACGTTGCGTAATTTAGATAAATATTCTAACTTCAATATAACCAGAAACAAGAGATAATTTAAAAATCTAGAATGGGAATATTAATTACTACATAAATATGGGATTTCCACTGCAAAATTAAAAATTGCTATTACATATTTTGTGTCTAGTTGCAGCAATTTAATACATGTCTAATGTTTCGGTAGTTGCAACACAGTCTTGCACAAAAGAATAAGAAATAGATTTGAAAACAGTAAAAATTAAAATGGGAAAATGTTTATAGAATAGTTATTAGGACATACACATATAAAGAAAGTAATGGGTAAAAAGTAAATGATAGTAATGAAAGAAAAAGTAAAAAATCACGTAACAATTGCAGTAGAGTCTCTATAATTTGTCACTCGTAAGTCGGATAAGAGCAGTAATCTGACACTTCGACGAAAAAATTTTCCTATTACCACTTAATGTATACGACAGAGAGACCGGTGTACAGTACACTGTGTGTATACAGTCTGTCGCTAATTGTTTGTTGCACACGCGGTTGCCACATAAAATCGTAACTAATCTGTGAACCATGTGCGGTTTTTTACTGTACAGTGCGTACATATATGGAAAATCCAATAATTCGACATTCACCGGTCCGAAATATGTCGGACTACAGAAACTTTACTGTATTTAAAGTATGGAATAATCTGCCGGTAGAATGTGAAAAGTACTAAATTGGAAAAGTATTTATGTGGAAAAGTGAATGAAAAGTGGCGAATTACAGAAAGTGGAGGCACAAAATAATTGAAAAAGTGAAGAAAAAAACGGTAAAATTCCTTATGCAATGGAATTTTACCGATATTTTCATGTACAGTACGTGTAAATATTGATTGTACTGTACGTAAACCATTTAAAGTGAAGAGTGAACTGCATAATAAGTATTAGTTTATTATTTATTGTCAAGTTCTTGAACAAAATCGCAGACCGGCTGATAAAAACTATTGTAAGGCTGAACTTCATACCGGAATTTGAAGCGGTTAATAAAGTTTTTATGGTGTGAAATTAATTCGTATTAAATGATTACAATAACCGATTTAGTAATTATATAAGCATAAACATGGACGAAAAGCGTAAGAAATAATTAATAATGACTTTGTTCGTGTATTGATTTTTTTTCGATTTCTTATACATTTCCATTCATTAGTTTCCTTTGTGTATAGATTCAAACTGTAAAACAAAACAGAAAATGAGATTTTTAAATATTTGTTTATTGATATTTCATTTTTTAAATGCAAATCAACAATTAAAGTCTAAATTGCGTGCTTATCTAATTTTAAGCATTGCAGAAATAACCACATCAGAATGTAATGATAACAAACGTACTCATTTACGTGAATTTAAAGGTGAATATAAATTAATATCTAGATGCTTTCTACGCTGTAGTGTTTTCTCTACTTTAATTACTTATACAGATCACAATATTAACCCCGAAAATTATTAAGAGTATAGAAAATTCATTAATAGATACAATTTACAAGGTATTATCTTGTTGATAACATTATTAAATTAGTTATGCAATTATTTTATGTTAAGTGTCTATTGAGACTTGTACAAATTTTGAAATCTGCACAAAAATAACCTAACAATGTGCAGAAGTTCAAAGGTGATATAAATAAAGTTATTGTTAATAATGATTTGTACATATTGCAGATACGAGCCGCTTAACGTATACGACCTCAGGCTCATCTATTGATATATATATATAATTGAGATGGATTAATAATAATAACAATAATTTTCAGAGCCCAAACGGTTAACAATTTGTCAGGATATTTTTTTTTTTTTTAAAANTCGTACAATAATTAAACAAAAAACATTATACCAGTAACTAGTCTATTCAATGCAGTACGAATTTGGCGTTAGCCTTGTCCCTCGGCATCGGAATTTTGTAGTGAAGGGGGCGATACTACGTTGAAGGGGGCGACGATTCGTTAGAGGTTGAGAAACACTGGTTTAACTGGTTTGTTATACTGGTGTGTTTTCAGATAATATATTCCAGTTATTGAGATGTTTAATAAGTAACTAATAATTTAAATATTGCAATATTGTATATTAAATATATATTAATCATTATTATACATAAACCTTTATACTGGGTTATCTTTATTATGATTGAATAGTAAATACATGAAAATTTCTTAAAACTAAATGTAAGACAAAATAGTTTAATATAAAAAATAGTGAGACAAGAAAATATTCTCTCCTCTTATTATTTATAATCATAATACAGTTGGTCAGGACATGGAAAATCACTTGTACTTTCTCAGCTGCTTCAGAACATTTGAAGTATTGTTTTTTGCAACATATTTCTTTCTACGTACTGTCTGCATTTTATGCTGAATCTTGATTGGATGATACCACTCAGTGCTTAAAAATTGAATCACTGTCTGTTGTCTTTTCTGAGTGAATTGTTTATTTGATATTCCAAATGTAAGCAGAATTGCAGTGTAGACATTGTGCAGTGAGCAGAGCATTCTGCTCACTGCATGATGTCTGTAAGCAGAATGACTCATTTTCCTCAGATGACATTACTGCTTCACTAGCACTATCTTAAGGCACAATGTCCATTCCAGTTCTCCCACAGTAATCCTGCATAGGTTCTGTTTGATCAAGTCTAAAGTTTAAAAACTGATTATAATCATAAATTGAAATAATCGATTTTTATTCTTTTCTGATTTATTATATTTATTACCTGTTTTAATTAAATTAAAGCAATTTTTAATAAGATTTGAATTGAAATCATTACACAAAAAATAACATATTTGAATGTTTTTCTATGCTGATTTTATATAATTTTTTAAAATTTTAATTCTTTCCACCTTACGTATTTTTTCTCAGCCATTATGGGTTTGACCAAATCCTCAATTAATTGGCCAGATGTTGAGAGATAGATGCTACAAACAGTGGTAGCTCAGGACTTGAATTCAGTTCATTCCTAGAAAGAGTTTGAATTCCAGAGCTATTTTTCCCATAAGGAATAATGTAAAGTAAATTAAAAAATCATAATCTAAGCTAAAATAACACAATGTCCTAATTAATGCATAAAACAATTAAAATAATAATAGATTAAAAACAATGAAAAAAGTAAATAATGCAATAAAATTAAGGAAGTGAACTGAACGTGGCTGTGTTCATTCAATTCTTATTCTCAAATTCATATCAATGGCTTTAGAAAAGTAATAGATTTTCATTCTTTGTGGTCCAAAATAAAAATTAACACAATCTGTCAACATTGCCACATTATGTGAACCCATTGTATTCAAGTTCCAAGAAAAGTTTGAATTGGCAAAATTTCCTCAAAAAAAGTGTTCAGATTTCAAGTCGTTCAATCTCTGGGGCATTTGAGTTCCAAGGTACCACTGTAAATGAGTTAATTCATTCGAGAAGATATCTGAACTGACTTAGACTTAAACTTCAGACCACAAAAGTTACAGGCCTTTACAGCCTCATCATCCAGTTGTTGATTTTCTATAACTGTTTTGATAATAAGAAAAAATTAATTGTATTTGGTAAATTTATATATATTCCACTTTTAGGAAGAATATATAAAATTACCATATAACAACAAATTAACTTAAAGTATAATGTTCAATTATGTAGAATACTCTAAGAATAAATTTTTTGTAAATATATAATAATAAAAGAAATGAACTAAAAGGAATTTTCAAGAAAAATATTTAAGGAAGAAAATAAAAGTGAAGCAATTTTGAGAAAAAACATTGACATATCAGACGAAAAATGATACTAATTAAATATATAATTATCTTTTTAGACTTTTATTTCCCTCATTTCTTTGTGTATTTTTATGTCACCTGGAATAATAATCTGATTTAATATTACTTAAAAATTAAACATATATAATATAATAGATTTTTTGTTCTTACCAGGATCTCAAATGAGTAAAAGCTAATATTGAATAAATATACAATTACAGTATATATAAAATTTTATTATTTATTATGTTTAAATATTCAAATATAGAACTTAATTAGTTGTAATACTATGTTTACTGAATTATATAAATTTTTTTTCCAGATATTTAATGATAATTTAGTTCATAGTGATTTACATCCAGGAAACATTCTTGTACAAAGCCTACCAGTTTATGAAAAAGTCAATTCTTTTATAAAGAGACAATCTAATGTTTTAGCAAAAGTTAAATATTCATTACAAATTGTTATATTAGACTGTGGACTTACATCGTCATTGAATCCTGTTGACTTTGTAAAATTCTGTAAAGTATTTAAAGCAGTGGCATTAGGAAAGGTAAATATTAATAACTTTGTTATGATGATGATGATGATGATAACGATTGGATTAATTTAATACAAAATTTAATTTGTATACAATATTACATTAGGGAAAAGAAGTAGGTGAAATATTTTTGAGGTTTTCTGTCCACGAGTGCAAAGAACCAGAAAAATTTATGGATCAAATGAATGAAATAGTTACAAAAGCCAGAGAAAGCACACTTTCATTAAAAACAGTAAGCTTTCCTTTTAAATATTTTATAAGTAAAGATCTATAAATATTACTAACACATTCTAATCTCTATTTATGCTAGATCAATGTTGGTCAATTACTGAATAGCGTTTTTAATCTGTTGACAAGTCATCGTGTCAAACTAGAAAGCAATTTTGTCTCCATCATGATTGCGATAATGATAGTTGAGGGAATGGGTAGATCACTTGATCCCAATTTAGATATCTTGCAGGAAGCAACCAATTACCTCCTTTAATACAATAAATGCTTAAAAAAGTTTTCAATTTATTACTACAAATTATTTAAATCTTTACAAAGATTTTTATAAATATATATGTTTCGTATTTTTATATGTAAATATGTACTGGTCAAATTTCAATGTTAAAATATATTAATGAAAAATGTTTACTGATTTATCATCATAAAATGAATTAAGTAAAAAAAAAACCATCAGTAATTTTCAAAATAAACTAATCTCAGAGTCTCACTAAAAATTTTTTTGATATTGACCGTTGTGTGAGCAATTATAAATGATTCATGAATTTGTGTAGTGAAATGAAAATAAACAGTAGCTTAGCATTTATCAAGGGATGAATTAAGAGTGACATCATAACAAATAGCTAGTCATTAAAATTTCTTAAAGATAACTATGAAAAAAGCAATTTACATATGCAATTTTAATAGTTTTTAATAGTTAAACTTTAAGTTTGTTTGTTTTTAGCAATAAGGAATATCTTTTGCTTTTAGATTTAGTGAAACAAACAAATTTTAAGGAAAATATTACAACTTTTGAATGACAGTGATGAATTTCAATTGATATTTTACAGTATTAATTAAAAACCCCATTATTAAAAATTAAATATAACCTTTATTTTTTTTTTTAAATTATTACAAAATTTTAACATTTTAATAACATTCATTTCAAATATAATTTCAAAACAAATGCAAAATTTGAAAAAAGTAACTCAGTGTATAAAATTACATTTTTTTTAAAGTATTAAATAATAATATAACTTTAATGAACAGTAAATAACAATAATTGTCTTTGGTAAGAATTTGTGATTATTATAAAATTTAATTACAACAATTTGAATTTTGTGAATGATCAGTTAATATCACAGTTTCACCTTCAAACTGTTTCTCATTTTTGTTTTCCATTTTCAACCAGTTTTCAACTGCTAATCTAAAAGCCAATGGCACATTTGTTGCATCTTTAGCACTTGTTTCTACAAACGGCGGACATCCGTTATTGGTTATCCACGATGTCAGGAGTTCAGTAGTGACAACCTTCTTTTCTGAGTCTAAATCTATTTTATTTCCTATAACCATAAAAGGAAAATTTCCTGGATTCCGTATATCAGCATAATATAAAAATTCTTTCTTCCATACACTCAAATTTTCAAAGCTTTGCATATTGTCTACACTGTATGTTAGTATGCAAATATCGGTACCACGATAGAAAGGAATCCTCAGACTGTGGAAGCGTTCATTGCCAGCAGTATCCCAGATTTGTAATTTATATACATTATCTTTGATGTAAACATCCTTCTCTAGGAACTCCACACCGATAGTACAGTACGTATCAAAATTAAACTGATCTTTGACAAAACGACTCATTAGACAAGTCTTCCCAACATTACTATCACCAAGTAATACTACTTTCAGCAGGGGGCACTTCTTTCCCGAGTGATTATCATATTTATTTTTGTTTGATATCATTTTTGAATTTCGTTCATTAGATACTTTCATCGTCTGTAAAACATATTTTTAGTAAAACTTTGTTTAATAATAATAATTTTATTTAAATATAGAATAATATCAGGTTAATTTTATAAAATTTAGAGATGGGTAAATACTACAAAGTATTCAAGATTTCAAATATAATGTTAGAAAAAATACCATGAATATCTCCTATATTGTGCCATATAGAAAAAAAACCTCTGCTTTAATTTACAACAAAAAAAAAAGCAGACTAGATCCTGAGTGTTCAAATTTTTCTTTTTGTAAATAAAACCCTGCAGTTGACAAAAATGAGATCAATTATTGTTTGATCTACTGTAGTTGAGATAATAGTACCTAAAAAGGCACTGTAAAAGTCAAAATAAAAAGTTTTAAATTTCATTTCTTAGAATTTAGTAAATTGTTTTTCTTTTTACTTTTTATTTTACTTTGTTAATACAATATATAAATATAAATAAAGCAAGTTAAATAGCAAATATTAAATGAAATTATTAACTAAATAATTTATATAAGATCAATTAAATTCATTGAGTACAGTATTATGATACTTAAAATATTTGATTTTGAGAAAAGTGATATTTGCCCATCTCTAATAAAATTGTATAAGACATAATAATGTTAAAAAATTACTAAATCAAAGTGAGAAATCAAAAGCCACCATAGATGAAGAGAGAAAAAATTGTCTACTTTGTTACTAAGGTTGTTATTGATTTTCAATAATATAAGTTAAAAATATATCTTGCCTAGACTATTCCGAATTCTTTAATATCATTACTATTAAATGTAAATTTGGCTATATAATTTGCTATTCCATAAAGCCGCTTAACAAAAATGGAAAAAACCATCATTTACTTGTATTTTTTGAGGCAAAAGGCAAATCTATTAGTTCAATTAAAACTCTAGTTCCAACAGCCGTCCCAATTCCGTTAAACGAGTACCGGTCCGATACCAACAAACCTCATTAATGATTAACTTAAAATCATAATCTGTTTTACGAAATTATTTTTAAGTATCTAATAGTATATTTACATGAATAAAAATTATAACAATCGACAAACCTTTTTATAACAGTGCCCTATAACAATCTTCACGAATGTTAACACTGTTATAAAGAGGTTTGTGGATTGTTGTTTTAAAAACACAGTGTTAAGATTAGTAATCGTTTTGTAATAAAAATTATTCCCAATTGCCGGTAATTCTAAACACGGTAACAAAATATATAGCATTGACATAAATTATAACATCTAATTTGTTGTTGATGTAGGCAATATTCAGAATTCTAGAAGCAAAATTATAGATGTACAGTACAGTACTTATTGCTATATGCTAGTTAATAAAAACTCACCCACATTAACAGCTGAAATTTTTAAATAAAAACACATATAGAATTTGATAGAAGGTATGTTTAGGTGTACATATGGAGGTAAATTATCTAAAACTAACTTCAATTGCTTGCATATACACAAATTAGCTAAAATTCTGGGTAGAAATTCCTTTTAGGTACTATATTTTCTACATTTAATATGAAACTCCCATGATATAAAAATTATAAGAGTCTACCAATAATTTTAGGCATACTATCCCATTGGAAAGTTTCATTTTCGATTACAAAATAGTCATAGAGAAAGGAAAGTAATAAGATGACAGGAAATTGAATACATAGAACACGTTTTGTTAAGGACGACCTTGAAAATTATGAAATAACTTCTAAATTTATATATTCTACGCGTAACTATTCATTCGATTTAAAATAATAATAATATATTTTACCTGTTAATGACAAAGAATAGCGAAGACGAAAAGCCAAAAATGAAAGTAACCCCCACGCGCACACCACCACTAACAAGTTTAATATCGATTTCTATAAATTGTCTATCAGGTGCGAGTGACTAATAAAATACATCAATTACAATGAACTAACATAAGTAAATAACGTGATAATATTCCTATAGTAACAATACTACAACCGATACGATCCGCGATGCTTCTGTAAGATTAAAAACAAAGGAAACAATGATTCGAAGATTTGCCGCTAGATGGCGCCACGCACAACTTGGTTTTATTATATTTCATTTTTCATTCATTCTGTTTATTCCGTTTAATCGAAATTGATTTATTTTCAACTTATAAAAAATAAAAGCCAGGCTCACAATAGGCCGACCGGGTGGTGAAGGACGGGCCCGACATATCCAATACAGAAAAACTTGGGGTTGCTGGTCCGGATTCGATTCCGGCTTCCCCAGAAAAATAGGCAGTACTGTAGTGGCTTAACCATCTCGACCCAATGGTATTATTGGTCTTACTTATATAAGTACGGTATATTGTGTTACCATTATTTTACTGGAAAAAAATTCGATACAGTGTATGAAATCTGATATTTGGAATTGGAATAAAGTAAAAGGAAGAATCGGTTTTCATAGGCCATTGTCCTACAACTTCGCGTCCGAGAAATTTGTGTTAATTGAAGCTATTGCTATTTAATATTTAGAAATTTTGATAAAAACATAAATTTTAAAATATCTTTGTGAAGTCAGTTTTCTTAGATGCATTGTTTTTACTTAAGGGTATCCTCAACAAATATCAAAAGTGTAAGTATTGATGCTATCATCATGATTGGTCTTTTTGCTTTTTGCAGCTATACACGACCAATATTTGACCTAATTATTTTTTCTATCTAATGAGGAACGTTGTTGCATTTATTAAATAAATAAACTTTAATAATGTATGTTGAAACAGGACTTAAAAACAAGTAGAAATGCTAATTTCTCATATTTACGATCAACACATTGATTGTGATTATTTTCAAATAAGCAAATTATTTTCAAATAAGCAGATTTTTTATAATAAAACCTGTTATTTAAATATGTAATTTTGAGTTGTTGCGAATTCGGATTGTCTAAAAAACTTTATTTACCTACGTAAATTTCTCGGGGGGTTAATAATCACTCTTTTATTAGCTGTTTATCATTGACAATTACCAAGATTAAGAATTAAAAACAAAAGATATAAATAATCCAATCATTTTTCTGGTTTATTTCGAGGTCTGATTTACATTTATTCTTTATTTAAAGTGACATTGCAGTGACACATGGTAGTCTCTTCCGCCAAAATAAGAAAAGAAAAAAAAAAACGTGTGATTCATTCTCCTAAAATTCCAGTTCGATGAATACTTCTACTCATGAATGATTATGCTTTGTATCTTCGGATTATCACTAGGAAGTGACAATACGTACCAAATGTTTTTACTTCCATAAATCGAGTCTTTTACCCTCGAATAGTTTTCTTTTCTCTTGTAGTCCGCGCTATAGTTCTGATCACTTTATCTTTCTCTTGGCATGGAATATTGGCGTTGATTTCACAAATCATAACGTGCAATAACTACTTATGAACCATATATATTAACTACTTTATTTCATAAAGTATTCGATTCTCTATTATTTAAAGACTCTGTCGGAGCATCTCGACTTCTCTTTATATATTAGAGACAACTTCTTGTTACTACATTCAAAATATCTTCCCACTCTTCCTTTGGCCTGCGTTTTTTATCGTCTTAGACCGCAAGCCACAAATTTTCTCAGTGTAAATTACTTAAAACGTTCCAAAATTATAGTACCCTTGCATTGTTTTAAATATAAAAATAATATTCATTTATATTTTTCGTAAACTTGCGTTTCGTGACGCCAGATGGCGGGACGCATTTTCATCCCTTGGTGTTTTTCAATAAACGTCAGAACAACGTTACAGATCAATAGTTCCTGTTGTTGTATCTGTTAGTTCGTTGATATCCCTATTTATTTTTCCCTATAAAATATAATTGAGACGTTTTTTTCCTTTATTTCTCTTTCTTATACAATTTATTCGAGAGAGAGAGAAAAAAATACACGCTAAAGTTCAAGCTTTCTTAAATGATATAAAACACATTTCTTATCTTCTATTAAAAGTAAAGCAATAATTAAATGTTTACTGGAAATTTTTGATAAAATTTTAAAAATCGGTAGTATATTTACAATTAAAAATAAGGTAATATCGGCAGCGATACTTTAAAGAAAATTCGTGAAATAAATGAAGAATTAAGTATTTTTATGGCATTTGACATCACACTTTTTACAATAAAATGTATTTTTTCTCTTACTTAAATCTTCCGTGCCGATTCTTTAATAACAAAAAACATTTCCCGTCACTTACGTGTCATCTCACACTTGGTTTTTTTTTCAAATGGTCGTAGTTTCTCCAAATTTTAACCATTTTTTCTCTTATAATCGCAGACATCTGGAAGATTTTAAGAAATTGAAACTAGCCCTTAACTAAGAAAATTTTCCAGATTTGCTTCCTGTCAACGGGGGTTTGCGTATTCTATGTAGGAATCCGGATGTGCCATCTCTCCGCCCTTATTCGAATCTGTTTATATTTATAGACCTAATAACTTATAATTGCTCGATCCATATTGTTTTAATTAATGTTTTCTCTATGCAATCCGAATCTTTTTAAATGTTTTTTTCATCGGATAATGCGGGAAAATACCCCACTTCGTGGAATAAAAAGCTTAATTTAATCGAAAGAAAACAGCAGCAACAAAGATAACCCTTAAAACTTATATAATTAACATCGCTTAAGCTTATATAACCGAGGGTATAATTTTAAACAACTCCTTAAAATAGCAAAAATAAATATGCGAGGATAATTTACATTCTGAAACTGCGTTATATCTAACTAAAATGATAGGTTTTGCTCTAATCGCCCGCTTTAAGATGGTTCCAAACCAGCGTTTATGTTTAATTTCTTATGGAAAACTGATATGAAAGTACCATTAACTACGATATTTGTAATATTTGTAGAAAAATAATCAGTTTTTAATTAGTTCCTATAATTAGCGGTGTCGTCTATCCTCGTATACATCTACAACTATTTATACTTTAGTCCAGTACGATAAACATAAACCTGTATTGGGTTATTCATTCCGAAATAGGGAAACTAAACCTATTGGTTGTTGATCCCGACGGGTGCCAACTGAATGTAGTATAGTATAACATTATTCGAAGCAGAGACCTGCATGGTGAGAAAATGACGCATTCTTTCTAATTTATCGGGTAATTTATAAATTTGGGTCGATGTTTAACGCGTTTGAATGATTCCAAGACAAGGAGATTGCCAGCAACGTCGACGTTATAAGCGAAGGTTTCTGAGATGGAAAGATAACTAAAGTAATTGTACTTTCCACCAAACGAAAATTTAATAGTAGGCAGTTTTATGTTTATTTTATCGAAAGAGGGAGATAGAACAAACCGGCATTTTATTCCCTTCGGTAATCCTAAATCAAATAAACACGTCCTTACTTTTATTGCGAACAAACTTCTTAAATATCCTTGAAATAGCGGAAGCTGTTTCGTTCGTTCCCCAATCTCGACAGGAAGCGGGCTAGAGAAGAGAATCCCCCTTTCTCGCATTTCTTCCTGTTTCCAATTTAAAACCTCAATATCGACTTTATTATTATTATTATTATTGTTATTACATCCTATGAAGAACGAGTTTCCGATAGGGAAATTTCTCTTTAATTTGTAATTGTTTCTGGAAAAGTTAGTTATGGTAGAAAACAATGAATGTAAATAAAGACGACTTCCTGTTCCATAGGAAACGCCTGGCCTACAGGCAAGGTATTGTGCATTTATGAATGAACGTAAATTAAGGCAATGGAACGATTGTCTGTAATTAGAATGACTTGTTTCGAGCGATGTAAAGTGTAATTTACATCGTTTACTCTGTATTACAACGCACGAAGAGGAATTTTTGGCCGTGTGCCCCTATCTGTAATTGCCAAACTCTACTGTATGTAGTGTGTATGTATAGGCGGATGCATTATCAGCTCACCTATCGATAAAACAGGGTTATATTTAAAATTTGTTTTGTAAACATCCTACTAAACACGTTAGTAGTGTTTATAGAAACGGTCAATATTCATTTTAAACAGGATACGGCCGCGTATAAATGCATATTTTGCGATATAATTCGTATTGTTTTCGTCAAAGAAAGGAAGAGTGTCGAATGTATGCCCCATATTCTTACTATCGATAAAGGGAGAACGTTTCTTACCATTGAAAATCGGAGTAAAAGTGTTTACTGCTATAGAAAATAAGGAAAAACCCGAGTCTTTCATACAATTGAGTTAGGGGAGACCATGTTTCCTACCATTATGAGAAAGCCTAGCCTAGTTTTGGGGGAACGCGGGAACATAAACTTTCTCCGTAGGAAAGGAAACTGTGTTAAACGATGGAATTATCTGTATACCTTTCAATCGAATTTCTAAGATATTCCTTTCTTTAGACGGTCAGGCGATTGTCTACGTAATTAAAACATCACACGCTAGAATGGTTCCTTAGACCCGTGACCCGTGACACTTTAAAAAAACTATATAAAAAATCACACCGAAATTATTTTTAAATTATCAAAAAAAACTTTTAATTTCTCACTCAACCTATAAAATATGTAGAAATGAATGATTTCCCTACATCGACGGGGATAAAATTCTTTGGCAGCACGAATTTTCGGTAGCGCGTTTAAGGTCCTTCCAGTTTTTCATGGCATTTTTTCCCTACGACCCGTACGTAATGGCCGCCCGTAGCGTAACCACCGTCCAAGCAACCATGACCTACGAGCCGAGCCAATGCTTGACGTGATGGCAAACAATGGCCGGATATAAGATTCGCATGCACTTCCGGCCAGCGACTCGCTAATCCTACCAAGCAAGACATGCGAACAGAACAAAATGGCGTGTGGAATACTCTATCCGAAATATTCTAATCAAATTTCCAGGCTAAGAGAGGCGCTATATTATAATTAAAAACGACACGCGGTAATTAGCGAAACGAAGGGGGGAGAAGAGGAGGAAGGGGTGGCGTAACATCGTTTCGTAAAACCATCCGGGCCGAGACGAAAAATTAACAGATGTCGAACCGAACTGGAATTAGTATTTGCGTCACATCCGGTCACAGGAAGTCGTTTCTAGTTCGGGTACCCCTAGCTAATATTAGTATCGGAGTGGAAGCCATGTGGTGCACATATAACCTACATCTTGCACGGATTAACAAAATATTTAGACGGGACGAGACGGGTTACAATAATTAAAAAATTAAAAAAAAAAATACTTCGATTTCCTCCCGAATCGGTAGCGCGGAATCGCGTCGATAATGGTTCGAGTTTCGAAACAATTGTCGTGGTGGAGCCGACAGAAACTTTTTAAGTACCGACAGAAAAGGGGGAAAACCCCCACACTACTGTATTTTACTTCGCGTGTCTTTAACTGTCTCGTGCACCTGCTGTCCCATGACGTCATGGCCAAGTTATCCACGTGATTTCGATATGCCAATCGCCGAATATATTCCGATTGTCTATTGTTCGACGTTCATTAGACGTATCGAGGTGCGTGCCGTTTTTCACACGCATCGTACGATACATGTCGTGTCGGTAACACATCCAACAGCAAAAGGACGCTATCAATGCCTGTTAAAATTTAAATTTTCCGCCTTATAAAAAATATAAATGTAAAAAAATAATAATAATAAATAAATAAATAGACAGCCATACGTTGTGTTTGTAGAGTGACGCGTAGACGGATGTTACGACCGGTTAACGCGCGCGCGTGTGTGTGTATATGTATATATAAATATGTTTTTTAAAAAATTGAAAGGAGTGTTTAAAAAAAGTAGGGCGAAAAGTTCGAAGGTCACTCGGAGCGGAAATACGGAAAAACGAAGAAACATTAAAGAGCGGAACGACGTTAGAAAGCGGCGTACGGGCTATTTGCCAAGTTTAGTATAAGTTACGTTTTCATTGAGGAGAGCGAAGGAGAGAAAAGCTCGGCCACCCCATTCATAAAAACGTCATCGAGGCAGCGACGTTTCTCGTTGGCCGAGACTGTTCCTAAGGAGTGGTGCGATCGACGTTACACGGGAAAGATAGTCGGCAGTTTCCTGTGCAGCTGCACAGTTCGTTGAGCATGGGATAGACGTTCTAATACACAAGAGTGGCTAACTATTCTTTGTGTGGAGTCGGCGTCCGGCATTCTAGTCTCTAGGAGTACGCCAGTTACAAAGCGTGTGTACGATCATCGATCGAGTCGGCGCGTCGTACACGAGGCCTAACTAGTCGCAAGGTAGACGTCGGTCAGGAGCTACGTCGATGCCATGACGACGACCGGCTCCGCTGGCAGAGTCTTCGACACGGTAGGTGACGCCGGCGGCGAGTGATCGCGCGGCCGACGGAACGTGGAAAAGGCCCTCCATGGCCCAACATGGCGGAAGGCTCTCCGGATGCAACGTGGAGACGGCGCAGGCGGTCGGCGGCGCCGGCGTCATCAGCCTGCTGCAGCCGCGGCCGGGCATGGCCAGGAGACAGAACGACTACATCGAGACGCCCCTCAGGCCGCACTCGCGCTGCAAACGGCAGCGGGCCGAGTGGCCCGCCGCCAAGGATTCGGACGATTCCGGCTCGGCCTCCGACGGTTCGGCCACCGCCTTGAACGCGTCGGGCCCGCTCCGACCCAACGCTCCGGCGCGCGCCAAACAGGCGCTGTTCGGCGGCGGCGGCGGGCCGCCCGTCACCAGCCAGCCCTCTGCGGCCGGCCCGCACGAGGAGAAGGCGCCGCCTTCGGCCCGATTGCCCGAACCCGGCATCCACCGGGACTCCATCATCTGCCGACAGTGCGGACGCTGCAAGTGCGAATCGTGTCGGAGCCCGAAGAGGTTACCCGCCAAGTGGATCTGCAACGACAAGTACCTGTGTTCGGCCGACAACTGCATCGACTACTGTTCGTGTCTGTGTTGCGTCAAGGGCCTGTTCTATCACCTGGCCAAAGACTACGAAACGGATAACGAAGCCTCGTGCGCCGATCGGCCCTGTTCCTGCGTACCTCACGAGAGGTGCCCGCGTTGGAGCTGCCTGGCTTTGGCCTCGCTCTTTCTGCCTTGTCTGTGTTGTTACTGGCCTCTGAGGGGTTGCCTCAAGACCACCGAAACTTGCTACGCGGCCTATTCGGGCCGCGGGTGTCGATGTTCGCCCGGAAGGACGGTGCCACCCATCGAAAAGATACCGGAGAAACTTCTCTTGGACACAAACTCCGACTGTTAACCGTGCCATCAACGTTCGCGGGATGAAACGTCGGGGGAACGGGGGAATTTCCCTCCCCCACCGGGTAGGTACGGACGCGAAATTGTACAGAAGCAGTTTACGTGCGGAAGGAGAAACGCGACCGGCCCGCCACCGTGTATATAATTCTGAGCAAAAGAACATTAAAAAATAAATAATGTCGGGCCGGACGCCCCCTCGTCAATTTTGTTCCTAAAATGGGTTTTCGGTGGATTCGCACGTCGTGGAAAAGTTGCAGGTTTTTACGCGGACGGACGAGTGTAGTAGAAAGGAGGATGTCGAACCCGACCGGATGTAACGCGTCCTACCACCATTATTAACAGGACGTGTCGTCTTTTTAACTAATTTATTAATAGTAAAACAACGATTAGACCTATTACGAATAGGAACTATCGCGTACGCGCGTATATTTTTTTCATCGAACGTCTTTTAGATAGACATTTTCGATGAACGTTGCCTCCGCTTAACTTTCGAGATATGTCTTATCCTTCTAAAAGTCGTGTTTGTTCCAAGGTCTAAGATAGCGCCCGACGATAGCGGGAGGTAAAAATCCAATATTATTATTATTATTATTTTTATTTGTATTTTTTAACTCTCGTATATAAATTGCGCTCTAGTCCCGACTACAATTAGATTTTCTCTTATATATATATATATATATAAGTATATGCGTTAATCGGACCGAAAAGAATCCGCAACGGGGGAGGGACGTGGCGAAAACTGTCACTGGGACGAGCGGTCTTGCCGCCTTTACACACGATGTGATTGATATACGATTGTCGAACCCTCTCTCGCATAAACGGATGCGAACTGTTGTAAAGTTACGTTAACGGAGGACGAAAAACTTACCATTTTGGAGTTGGATAGAATACCCGTGACCCCGACGACCCGCGTAGAAAAAAATATAAAAGATTTATATATGTGGACCGGCCGAAATTTCCACGGGCCTACGTATTCTGTAAATATGAAAATAATTCAAAAAAAAAAGAAAAGATAACTCTACGGCCGGTATTTTTATCATTAAAACAAAAAACAAAAAAAAAGATATTTATTTTGTCTCGATCGGCTGCGAGTTTCTATATTTGAAGAGAAAAATATGTTATATATTTATTTTCGAGAGGTACAAAAAGAAAAAAGAAAAAAAAAGAATTAAAAAATGCTTCGACGAACCGAATTTTGTCAATAAAGATTACTTGTAGTCTTTGCTACAGTTTATTTCTGTGTTGTGTACGTGGAGAAACGCGTCGCTCGTTCGTGGAACTTTTTGGCGGAGCGGAGGTTGTAGACAGCTGGCACGCGTGGGAAGTCAGACGTTGGCTTCATTCAGGTGTGGCCGCGCGTAGCCGCCAGCCGCCCCGCTCCGGTGAGCGCACCCCTCTTTTAATATATATATTTTTTTCCGAAATGCGCCGTTAAGTTTCGCCAACGCATCGCGTCCGCGCGCGAAAGCGCCGCAACCGATTACAGATTATATACAATCCAGACGCGCGCGACCCTCTCTCGTTTACTGATTGATTCTTCCCGGTAGTTGGTCCCGACCGCGCTAAAACGGCCGCGTAACGTCCGTCTTCGCTAGTTACGGTGCGGGCGAGATGCCCCACCCGATCTAATTGGGGGAAAGGCACGAGTCGGGTTAAAATGAAATCGTATATTTCCGAGATGATGTTTAAAAAAGTATAGATGATTGCGAAACGTCTTCTTCGAATTTAAAAAGCTTTAAGAGCTTTCTGTTTTGAAAGATCGGTTTGATCGATTACGAAAGAGGTCACTTGTTTACAAAGTACGGAATTTTCGAAATGTGTTTAGAGACCTTTTCGAGGTCGCTAAAAATCGGTTAGTTCCCCCTTTTTTTCCTTTCTCCTTTTAATCTGTAGGCCTAACCTTAAACTCGATTATTCGTATTTGTGTCGCCGTGTCCTTGCCCATATTACGTCTTTATAAAAATTTAAACACGTGTAAAACTCGCAAAATCTTCACCTCCGAATGGAGAAGAACGTGGCACGGGAGTAATTGGCGTAATCGATGGAGGTATTTTTTTCCCCCTGCAGCGTTATTCGCTAATTCGAGATCGATGTGCGGAGGTAATTATTTGTTATTAAATTTAGGAAGGGCGACCTAAATATGAGCGATGCGCGCGATCTTTAACCCGGACCACACCAGGTGGTAGAGCGAGGAGGGAGGACGCGAGGAAAGAAGGGAGAGCGGTCGGGATATCCTGTGGGTGGAGGTGACCTCCCGGACTTCCTGTCGCCTCGACAACCATTCTAGCCTCCAGCCACGATCGCTTGAATTGGACTAACAATTGGTCGGTTAGTGCTGCGACCATTAGCACTTTCTACTTCTGCGATTGTTCTTTTGTCATCGAAATCAATCCCTAAATAAATAACCCGAACATTTTCATTTCCCTTTTACCGTAATTCGCCATACTCTATTTTTATATACCGGCATACAGAGATCGGTGTCGTCCTCCTCTTAAACACTCATTTTCCATCAAAATTTCTTACTTCTTACGCTTCTATTATTCTCGTTCTTTTTTTTTTATTTCGTCCCCCTCAAAAAATAAAAAATTGAAATTTTATTAAATTGCAATTTGTTACTTTAAAAATTATTTTAGTCGTATTTTATTATTTTATTTCTATCGACTAATTTTAGGGTAATGTTTATTAGGAATTAATTGGGATTTCAGAGGAAAAGGAAGTGATTCTTCCTCCGAAATCTTAATTCCTACTAAATATTACCCAAAAAATCTATTACCGAGAGCTTTCTTGGTATGTTTTTTTACAGATTTTTAAAAAAAATGATGATAATTGTACAGAGACTGAAGTTATATTAAAAAAAATCCCATTTTCACCTTTAAAAACTTCATTATTTTGATTATATGCTTTATAAATATTCGTTTTTTTAATAATAATTTACAAGTTTGAGTTTTTGTGTTTAATTTTAGTAAATATTAAAAACAAAGTGGAAAAATCTCTTAAGTAAAGTCCATAGTTTCGTTCGATATTCTCAGATTCTGTGTTCGTAACGATCCTAATTTAATCCCGACATGGGAAAACAAACAAGATGTAACAGAGAATTAACCGGTAAAAACCAAGGTTTATCTGGCTAATAAAACGTCGAGGAACGTAACAGAACATTATATATACTTTTTGAAAACACGAAATATTTTTTTGAATTAGGGGGTTAAAAAAATATAGCGGGTAGGATTGGTCATCCGCGGATTGACGTCACACGCTCAGCACGTGCGCGATCAGACGAATCGTCTAGTCTTTGTGAAAGAGGAGGCCTAACAGGTCTCGGCGGCCTTGAGAGTGTGATGGCTTTGACGGATGTTAACCCCTGCATTGGGAGGGATACAGAATGTATTTCTTTTACAATGTCCCTCTCGGCTATCTGTTAAAACGACACGCAGCGGTAATGTTGTGGAAACCGCGTACACCCCTTTCACCTCTAACATCCGATAATTCTTTTTCTATATATATATATATATATATACATGATCTACCGGAGCCAAAGAAACGTTAACGATTTGCGAAATCTTCCTTAGAAAAATTCACGTGTTTAACAAGAAACAAATTTATAGTCGGAAGGGAAATTTGACCTGATTTTTTTTTTTAAACGTTCGATTATTCCGACTTTTTTTTTTAACGGTAAAAGTAAAAATGCCGGAAGGTTTTAAGGACAGCGCATTCCCATCGAAGGAGTTGTTTTCTTCTTCGTCGTCATCTCGTGTTTGTATCTGGGAGTGACTATTGAATTGCACTTCCCCAATTAAGGATCTCTGACATTGGGAACACATGTTGATGGCAATCGCCAGACGGTAAATTAATGACGTCGAATAAGTCGATAGAAGAGGAGGTTTCGTGTTCGCTTACACCCGATCGAAGTTTAGAACAGGGTGTGACCCGTCCTCGCGCGTTTTTCTCCCTCCTTTACTACGTCATTGGAAAACGGATTGGAATCTTTTTCCGCCTGTATCTACCAGAGACGAAAGTCCATCCTATGCCAAGCTAATGACTCAAACTTGTTGGAATTCGATTAGATATCGGAGTGTATTTTTTTCGTTCTTTCTCCTGTTTACACACGTAAACTTTGATAAAAAAAAAAAAGTGGATGTCGATAATGCCTTTCGAACATCTTAACGAAATCATAAAACTATAGGAACCTTAGATCGGGAATAGTTTATCCAATCACTCATCCTCCAAAATAAGCATCAAATTCTCATCTCGTTGAAGGCATCGTTTAATTCGAATCACGGGAATATATCTTAGGTTGTATCTGGACCGGAAGTGGACAGGGCGGGTCGACCTTCCGGGCTATCGATACTTCGATTCCCATAGGAGAGAGAGAGAAAGAAAGAAAGACTCGACCTTCGAAACGGTTCCAGTTAAAGAAAAAAAAATCCGAAGGTCGTTTCGAGAGGGAAATTTCCCTATCGTCGACTTCATTCAAAAATACAGCAGCGGTGTCACCTGTTTCTAGGAACGTTACGCCGTACGCGTGATCGGCGTCACGTTTCTCTAAGTTGGATTTAATTATCTCATATTTTTCGATAACCTCATAATTTCCCAGTCGAAATTACGGAGAAGGTTGACGAGGACATCCAACTCGACCACTGTTCGTCAGTCTTTCGACCCGACGCTTGGAACCATTCCAATATTTCTTACTCGGAAATTCTTATCTAATGAATTATATAAATAGTATTTTACAAATTTTAATTCTCTTCTTCCTGTTTTCCCTTTCTCGGCTCGTTTCCCCCCCCTTCTCGTCCCTCGCCGAAACTACGAAAATTTCCCTTCCAATTTTCTTAAATCATTTCGCACGTGCGTAACGGCACGAGCATCTTTCTGGAATTTCCTATCCGCGTGACTAACCGACATTAATTAATATGTTTTTTCGAACCGCCAAATTTACGAAAATTATGATTTAAATTCTAGCGCGTGAGAAATGAACATTAAAATGTTTCGGATAGAATTAATTACGCTCTCGAATTTTCAAAACATGCTAAAACTCCCGTCGGAAATCGTTGCAAATTGCGTTTTAAGCTTCCCCCCTTTTTTTCGCTGGTGTTTATTTTCTACTGCATATTAAAGATTCCAAAGTAACAAAAACGAGCCGTGTAATAGGATAATTTTAAATAATAATAATTTTTATCCCGATTCTTTTCCACACTTACCGAATTTCAGTGGCCTTAACTCCATTACAGAGTTAATTTCCCTCTTTTTTTCCCTAACTGTTTACAGCCATTTATTCATTTCCTAGTACTCATTTTAATGTTAAGAAGCGAGTAAAAAAAAAGAAAGTTATTTTTTAAAAAGAGAAACGGAATTAACTATTGTAAATCTTACTTTTAAATGTTTTTTTAAAGCATCCAATTAAAAGTGTATTTTTAGTTTTTAACGCTAAACAATAACAATTATCGTCCGTAAACCCAACCCCGATTAGATAAAACTATTGTAACACTTCGTACCGATTTAAATTATTATTATTTTCCTTTTCTGTTTAAAGCTTTGTCGTAACTCTCTCTTTTTTTAAATTTCATAATGGGATTTGCGTGCGTAATTCCGTAACAGGAATGGCGCGTGCTTTTCGTATTAAAGTGCGCTTGATGTAACTTTTTAAGAAGAATCGATGTTTTTGGCGTAGGCTTGACCACGTTCGAGGTTAGGCGCCCCATTATCCGTTACGTCACATATGCGTCACAAGAAACTTGAAATCAAGGTCGGTATGCCGTACAGTTTTATATATGTACGTATATACTGTAAATATATATATATATATATATACGCCAAACTGTAAACAAATACCGTCGTGCACTAATTGGTTCCCGGTGGCGTTTTAACTAACTAGAGTGTTAGGGAAAATCTGGAAAATTATCACCTTTAGTATGAGGAAAAAATGAAAAAGTATCCTGGTTAGTTTAAAATAAAAAAAATTCTGAATAATTAATTATCTCGGTTAATTTAAACAGATGAAAGAATCTAATTAATATAGAATTAATCTGGAAAAGTATATGTCCCCGGAAAAATCTGGAAGTATGTGTGTTAGGATAGAGAAAATGTGGAAAAGCATTCGTTATTATAGAGAAAAGCTAGGCGAATTTGGTTAATCCGAGCAAGTTTCTTAAAGTAACTATTCCAGAAAAATCTAGAAAATTATAGGCGTTTTCAGATTAATGTAAGGGATAAATATATTAAATTAATA